TGTCTTCAATCGAGGACCGCCTGCCCGGTACTGACGATGCCCAATAGGCTGAAACAGCTTTATTATGGAAAAAACACGCACCGTGAGGTAACCTTCTTTTCTCCATGTTCAGCCATCCAATTTCTTGAAGCTTATATGAGATCCTGTGTCGCCGACCCATACCAAAAATTAACCTAAGGCACGAGTTTTGAACTTTTTGAATCTTATTTTTGTATTGATTGATTAAACATGGGCCATAAAGAACTTCCGCATAATTGAAAACTGAAAGAAAGATTCACATAAGGACTTTTTCACATAAATAGGCAGAATATGTCGGTTACCATAAATTATTTTCGGTGCAGAATATGCACGTTGTAAGAGTTCATTTATGAATTTTTCTACAAAATTCTACAAAAACCTATTTAATTCCTGAGGGTTTTTCAAAATTTCCGGTATATCATGTTTCTTTTCAGGAATGAATTTGTTAGACTTGAGAGTTTTCCACATGTCCTTTGGTAAAGTGTTATCAAATTCATGGGCGAAATAAGCGTTTTTTCTTTTTTAATAGCCTGATTGATTAGATTATGCATTTGCCCATAGAAATCCAAGTGCCTTTGTAATTTTGTTCTCTTAAATTTTGCCAGAGCTGTTTCCCTTTCAGCAATCATTAGCTTTATCACATCCGTCAGTCATGGAGCTTTCGGTTTCGTTACTTTGGAAGTAGTCAATAACATATGCCAATGCATATGTTTATCAAGTAAGTTATTCAAACAATTTACCAAATATGTAACTTTCTCTTCAATACTTTTTTGGTCATATATTTAAAAAAATTAAGTATTGGACATATCTACCTGAAAAAGATCTTGGTTAGGTTAAGTTAGGTGTGAAGCGCCTGTATGTACAGATTTTGGGGTCCTGTTGCTTTTCACATACTCTCAACTTACAATATATTATATCGTGATCACTTCCCTCTTGTACTATAAAGTCCAAAAGACTTGCCGACTGTAACCCTAGTAGGAACATCCATCAACTGACAAAGATTCAGTGTATTCATTATTGAGTAAAACTTAACACAACTATTCTCATTATCCAATAAATTTAAATTAAAATCCCCCATGCATATAATTTCGTCTACCGTTTATTGCAGCCAAGCTTTCCTTAAATTAATCCAAAAATGCATTTGTATTCTGCACATGAGGTTTATAAATTACACCAATAGCAATAGCCTTTTTTTCAACAGTAGTTCTTATCCAACACTGTTTCCATAAGTAATGCCCACTGTCAATTAATTCAATACGTAGTTTGTTACTAACATATAAACATAAACCCCTTCCCTTGCAATCCCTATCCACCTATGTAAATTGAAGCCATCAATGTTCAAATGATTATTATTGGTGGAATATTTCAACCATGTTTTACAAATCATCAATATGTCTAAAGGAATTGTCCAAGACTATTTGTTTGACATATTGTAAAGACGGCAACGGTGATCTTGCGTTACAAAAACCTATATTCAGAAAGTACATTTTGGAAGCAATTTATTCGTATTCAATTTCAAAGAAATTAAAAAAAAAACTAAAGAAGAAACAGATAACGAACAGTTTTCTTTTTTTTAAATTCCAAATGAGGCTGAGAATAAATCAAAGGGAGAACCCAACTTCTCACAATGCTGCACATTAATCCTTTGAATCTAAGGGTACATAATATTTAATACACGTACTCACAATGAACATTTGAATGACTATATTAAATTATGTACTTACTAAATAATTGTTACATTCAACAGATATTTTGGTGATATCTTCCATCTTGCCAATTTTCAACACATTCTGCTGATTATCCAGCTTAGCAAAAATTTTTCCATTTATTATCCATACTTTTCCAGCCGATCCCACCTGTTCAGAAGCTTCCCCAACAATTTCCATTTGCTCCTTAGTAAGATCCTCTCTAATCACCACTTTGCTAGCTTTAAGGAGTCTCTTATTATTATACAGTAGATTTTTGAAGTAGTTCGTAGAAAATCTCACAATTATTGTCCTAGTTTTATTACTTTCTTTCTTTCTCAATCGGTAGCAAAATTCCATACTGGAATAGATGATTCCATCAATGGAATCATCTAATTTTAGTTTTAGATTTCCATTTGCTCCTTAGTAAGATCCTCTCTAATCACCACTTTGCTGGCTTTAAGGAGTCTCTTATTATTATACACGAGATTTTTGAAGTAGTTCGTAGAAAATCTCACGATTATTGTCCTATTCTATTACTTTTTTCTTTCCCAATCGGTAGCAAAATTCCATACTGGAATAGATGCTTCCATCAATGGAATCATCTATTTTTAGTTTTAGATTTTTATTGTAAATTCTGTATTGTAAATTTTAATTGGATATTTAAAACTTTCAAACAATGCCTCCTCATTCTTAATGGCAAATCTCTCTGATTTTAGTCAAGATATGTCCAACAAGAAAACTTTCTTAAAACTCGCTATCAAAACCTAGAAACTGAAATGGTCATATCATATAATCATATCATATAAATCAGTCACCTTCAATTCATTCTGGGACCTTTCTCTGCCACTACCACAAAGAAAGGGACAGCTGAGACTGTCACATTGTTTGGAATCATTCTTTGGATGGTGATGAAAAACCTACATGTTTGAAGAGTGAAGAAAGAAGAAATTTCACGAAATCTTTATCGATTCATAAACTTAAATCGGTTTTCATCAGCTGGAAAATTCGGAGAAAAACTGAATATTACTATAGATTTTCCTTTGAAGTATTGGATATGAGCTATTATGGAACCGATAATCTAGTAGTCCCTTGTCTTGTGTGTGATAAATAAAACCTTGTGTTTCCCTATTGTGTACGAGAATGCATCATATACTTGATAGTTTTTTTGAATGATTGGAACATAATTATACAGGTTGTTTCTAAATTCAATACAAATATTCCATAAACATGTATCAGGATGTTGAAATTCAACAAAAATGTCAGTTCTTTCTCAATATCTCTAAAACCGCATCGCATTTTTTTTCGATTTTGGTACATGCAAAGTACACATAAAATAAATTTTTCTGTGATGGTTTTCTTAATTTTCATCAGTGACGTCCCTGTAAACATGATCAAATCAAATAAGTAAAATTGCATCGGATTTTTTTCGATTTTGGTACATGCAAAGTACACATAAAATAAATTTTTCTGTGATGATTTTCTTAATTTTCATCAGTGACGTCCTGTAAACATGATCAAATCAAATAAGTAAAATTTTTTATAATTATCATCTCTCTTCCCATAAACATGGTCAATTGACTTTTTTGTCCGACGGACACGGTTTTCAATTCAAAAAATAAAAGGTCTTTATTTGCTTCTACCTATGAGATTTTTGATTAGTCTCGATGAAATGCATTTTGTTTTTTAAATTGAAAACTTCGCCATACGAAATAAGTCAGAGGACCATTTTTATGAATAGATAGAGGGCAATCATAAATATGTTTATTTAAAAAAAACACAGTGACAACTATCATCATTTTTGTTAAATTTCAACACCCTGTATCTCAGAAATGAAGCGGTTGCGGACACATATTCAAGAGAAAAAGAGTCTTATTTTGAGCCCAGGCATACGCCCTTAAAATATTTGTATTGAATTTAGAAACATTCTATGTAGTTGACACAAATGTTGCATCAGTAATGTTAGTAAAATAATATTTAGAATAATTCAGAACATTACGATTTACTCCAAAATAAGATCTCAGTCACAGTGTGCGTTGTTATCGCATTTCTGGTAGCTCGATAGTAAGTAGTTTGTGAATAAAGAATACCCAAGGCCGTCGAATAATCTATGAAGTATACACAAAATATGCACTGCAGTTACAGTGCTCACATGCACTAGACGATGCATGGCGAACTGAATTATACAAAAACGCCGTTTTACAGTCAAACAGATGTCCGATGAATAATCAGTTTTCCGCTTGCTACAATGTATTCCTAATATAAGGGTTAACAATCGGACGACCGTATACAGTCGCTTTAATGTAGCAATGATATGTAGCAATAAAAAATGCCTTTTTCCGAAGCGGTTGAAGTGTCCAAAATTTTGATTAGCGAAACACCATAAATAACAAAATAATAGTACGCTTCAAATAAGATTGTAAACGATCTGAAGGAAATCATTTCAAACTTTTGAATACTGAATTTGTATAGTCATTTGAGATAAATTTCATCAGCTAAAAATCTGTATTTCCAGATGAAAATTGATCGATAGCCTATCGATAAAATATAAAAAGACGCACTACTCGATATTTCACTCGTCGAATGTACATTTTCAAAAAACATGCTGTAACTCAGAAACGATGATGGATATCAAAATGCGGTTTTCACCATTAAGTTTGCCAAACACAGACACATCCATCAGTTTTCATTTATCTAGTTTGAAAACAGGAGTTTCCCTTCAAAAGTTGAATTCAATAAATTTGTGATATATATGGTACAAATATTCTTTTATGTAATGCAGTTGTTTTGTTAGGTGATGCCTAGCTGTACAATATATACTTTGCTGGATCCTATCTTTCACAGGTTTGCCATTTTCAGTAAATTTGTGATTGATGAAACTAGTTGCTTTTATTTGCTGATGAAAATTATCAAATATTTCAAATGCAAATTTCGTCAAAGAGTTATTTTGAATGTTAGAAAATTAGTAACTCATTAGAATTTGGAAGCATTCCTTGGTAGGACATTGAGTTTAGTCAACTGAGAAACAACAACATCTGTTATTCAAAGAAAAAAATCACATAATTCCATGCCTTCCTTACCCTATCAAAGCCACAATCGTATTCCCTAAACACAAGCAAAATTATTAATGTTTTGTATTTCTCTTATATCAATGTGTGAAAGCTAATCTGATTGAGCAAATGTAATGAGAAGAGTATACAATATTCCAGAAAAAGTTAAATATTTCTAGAAGTAAAAATGTAATTCTTCAACCAGGTTAACATACAGATATAAATGAGAACAACTGAAAACACTCACAGACTATCTTGTTGGTCATTTCCCCCCTCTTCTGCTACCAAAAGTTCATACTCTTCCGCTGCATATCTATCCCAGTCTGACATCTGAGTCAATAAAAAAAGATTATTTGATTTCTCTTGAAAACACTCAAAGATATTCTTTACCTCTTGCCCATCAATGTCGTGATCTCGTTGTGAGGCAAATGGATCTCTCTGTTCATGATCCAAGTATTTCTCTAGATTGAAGAAAGTATCAAAGAAAATGGGAGTCATTTTACACCTTTTTAGGTCACTGAGAGATACTTTTCCTGGGCTCTTTGGCTTCACCATATCCATCATTTGACAGAGACAATCCTAAAAATTTTATATTTCTAGTTCTAACTTTGTATTGGAAAAACAGATCAAGTTGTTCTGTTTAGGTCAAGTTTTTGGAACAAAACTTGAAAGCAGAACGGTTAGGACATTACAAATTTGAAATGTCTGTTGAAATGAGATTTGAGTGATCAATACGAAGGAGTGGAAGGTTCACAGATCATTTTTATTTTATAAAAACAGTTCAAACTGTTGATTATAGATAATCGACATAAATTGGAAAAAAACATTTTTTGTAAAACAATGAATTCTCCAACAAATAAGTATTCAGTTGAAGGGGATTGAAAAAACATTGTTTTATGAATGACCCATCAAAAGGACCAACGGACCCATCAAAAGGACCAACGGACCCATCAAAAGGACCAACGGACCCATCAATAGGACCGAGACATTCTCCAATAAATAAGTATTTAGTTGAAGGGACAACAGACACACTGCGGACACACTGTCCGCGCGTTAGACTGAAAACGTGTTCGAATGAACATTTCCAATACTCTATTGGCGCAGTTCTGGCGCAATAAATCCGAGTGTTGACGCTGATGAATTGCTGTAGATGAAACTCGGATAAACCATTATACGCCCGAAACAAAAATACAGTTTTTTCATTTGGGAAAGTGAGGGAGACTGTTTTTTGGAATAGTCATGAAATTATTTCAATTGATTATCTTCAAAAAGGAAAACCTTTACAGGAGCATACTACGCATCATTACTTGACAAGCTGAAGGCACCAAGACAACGCACCGTATCACACCTCAGCAGTTGCCATGGCAAAAATTCACGAAATACGATTTGAACTTATTTACCATTTGCCTTACCCACCAGAGCAGCCCCAAGCGACTTTTTTTGGTTCACTCATCTAAAAATTGCGCTTGGAGGACACAGATTTTCGTCAAATGAAAAGAAAATCACCTTCGTGAACATTTATTTCGCAGAGAAAAACGCCGAGTACTATTTGGACGGGTTACAGAGATGAGAGCATCGCTGGGAGAAGTGTAAAGAGTTTAAAGAAGACTATGTTGGAAAATTAAAAAAAAACATAAAAATGTCTTGTATTTTTTTAAGGTAGGAAACTTTTCAAACCACCCTCGTAATATCATTGGGTGTGGACCAAGAAGCGAAATAATTTTGAATAAAGTTGTTTTGGAGTCATTTACTCATTCATTTTCTTATCTTCTCTTTCACAAAATTTCGACTCAAATGTTGAAATAGTTGTATTTGATGTGCGGCTGAATAATATAATTTTTACGTTTCACACAAATCGATTGATAGCAGTCGATGATATTAGCCAAATAAGTGATTCATCAAGCCAAAAATGCTTCTTCTAATGGATTTAGACCGCTACCTTAAAGACTGTTCGAAGTACCGGCGATACTTCATGATATTCAATTTCTACATAGGAGGAGAACATAGTGGTTCATTAAAAATTCTCAACACCTCTTAGAATGAAACCTTTTCTACCTGAAAGGGCAATGTTTCGATCCCAATTGACTCCATCCTATGCATCTGTTCTTCATAGAAGTACTCCAACTCGTACATAGACAAGTAACCATCGCCATCTAGATCCATACAACGGAACCAATATTCAATGGCTGTTGGGTGTAGTTTATCCTCTTCGCTGAGAAGAAACCACACAAAATCAGTGTAAGACATTTTATCTTCTCGTTGTTTCTTGTGACCCCTGGTGACACAACCAGAAAAAATTCGGTCGATTATACGTGTCGAGAGTGCTGAAAAAACTTGATCTTTAAATCTTACCAAAACTAGCTCATTTATTTCTGAAGTCTTCAGAGGATTTCATATGCAGTCAAACAATTGCAATGAAAACCAAATTTGTCACAAAAACCTAATAATGGTTACTTATTTAAAATTCAAGTATTTATAAGAAAAACAGTGTGAGGATCTGACAAAGAAAGATTGACAAGGCTTGTTACTCTGTGAGACAAATGATTATCTGAATAAAAGCGGCAGCAATAGGTATAGGTACCAAATTTTTAGTTGGTTTTTTAATTTGGTGAGATTTGTCAAAGCTGCATACACGTGACTGCAAAGGGCTTTCGGCTTTTACGCCATCATCAGTGCGATACCTACAAGTAAGTAATTGTCGTGAAATTTGTTTAAAGTTGAACCCTAAATTCTTTTTTGAATTATTTACTCAAGTATATACAAGACTTTTATTCTACAGGATCTTCTTGAATATACTTGACGAGTAAGTAATTCAAAAAAGAATTCAAAGTTGAACTTCAAACAAATTTCACGACTATTACTTACTTGCAGGTATCGCACTGATGATGGCGTAAAAGCTGAAGCGCTTTGCAATTCACAAATAATTTATTTACACGAAATACGACTCCATTCCTGTTTTTTTTTTCAACTTTCAACCTTTAAAAGTATTGTCAAGCAAGTTAATCAATAAAAAGTGTTAAATGTATGTCCATTGATTTTCCTGTGGTAATGCTTAATTATATTGCTGAACTATTTAATGAACACACTTTTCCACATCTGAACTGAAAAAGCAATATCTGTCGACGGACGTTTCGCTAACCAAGCATCATCAGGAGAAGATTGAAACTAATTTTTAGTGATAATGCTGACTTGGTTAGCACAACGTGCTTTGCTCTCAAACCACGTCTCAACGTGGTTTGGTAAAATTGATTCCAATTCTACCTATCAACATGCCTAAATTTATCAATGGAAATAATGAATTTAACATTATTCAGTGAAATATATTTTTTACCACAATTTTTATAATAATTTACTCGGGTATATGAAAACTGGAAATATTTTTTCATTTTCGAAGGTTCTGCTTGGCTATAGAGCTTTTCAATTTTCAGATGAAATATATATAGAACATTATTATTTTTCTCAATATGACAGTTATACATGTAAATAAGTGCTGAAAATTACCATGGTCATTATGCCTAGTCAGATCTTGCTTATCAATAAAGAGATCGTGGTCCCTATCCAGCTCCCAAAACTTGCAATAAATTACATAAAAGTGTTCATAACTAAAATACTGGGTGATTTGATTAATATCTTCCTCTTCTTCCAACAACTGAATGATGCTGAGTAAATTAGATCTTCTCAGTTCTGGTATTGAAATTTTCGCAGACCAAGACCTACAAAAGATTGATATGAAAATGAATGAAATGTTAAAAATAATAAGTGGTAATAATAATTTTAAATTGCATATATAAACAAAGTTGAGACGGTTCAGCAGAAAAAAACAATTCAAACTTATACTGGAACTGTCTTATACTTAATGAAAACCTATATCAAAACTTTATTAATACACTTGAGTTTTACAAAAGTTATGTAAACCTGTCTTAGTGAAAATGACAATAGACTAGGTATATTGGTAAAATTAAAGTACCTGTTTTGAGCAGACCATCATATTGGATTTAGAGTGACATAAATGTTATTTAGTGCTTGAAAAATAGTGCGCTATCTTGGGCTTTCCCCATTATTGGATTCAGACTGACGTTATTTTACATTCAGTATTATTTTCAGTAAACCCTTTGATTGGATGGATAGCAATATCATGGAAGTGCATAAATTACTTCATATTATTTTCTTAAATTATCAATAAATTTTTATAATCACACAAGTAAATTTATTTCGATGTTAAAATTTATCATCAGTAAATTTTCGCTTCAAAATGAAATTTTTAATATTCTCAGGATCTTAGGAAAGATAAAATGTTTTCAATTGTCAGTGTAATTGACCAAATTCATTTGTTTGAAGGTGATCGACAATGTTTCATGATTAATTTGACTAGTTCGGACTTCTATTGTCTAATATATAAAATGATTTGAAATCCCTGAAAGAACCAAAAAAGGAGAATTAAAAATGAATAGCTGAAAATAACAATTATATTACGCAAAAATAACCTGAAATGAAATAATACTGGAATAAAATACAAGTAAAAATAGAACAATTCAACTAAAATAAAGAAATAAAGATGAAAACAAAAATATTTTTATTCATTCATTTTCAGCCATTTATTTTTAATTCTTCTTTTTTAGTTGTTTCAGGGATTTTAAATCATTTTATATATTCGACAATGGAAGTCCGAATTAGTGAAATTGATCAAATTCACATCCAACAGTATCTAAACTATTTGAAAAGTATTCAAAAGGTTTTGAAAGTGTCCTATTTTACAAATTCAATGGAGAAGTTGCCAGCCAAAAATGTTTTTTCGTAATATTCACAGTATTCTGATAATTACAAATTCAGTACTCACCTATTTACACAATAATAAATTCTAGCTATGACGGTGTGGACATATCTTGAATGGAATTCCGTAGCTTCTTTCAAGAAAGTCAAACCAGGATGTGTTTCAACTACATCTTGAACTAAAGGAATGAAGTCTTCGGGTGCTAACCAATTGCGCCGACCTCTTGTAAGTATGTAGACGAAACGAGACGCCGCATCATGGAATTGGGAAGACATACTATCGAATTTAAGATATATTATTGAGGTATAAAGATTATTAAAATTCGGCAAAGGTAAATATTCAGTTTACTGAAAAAAAGTGTGTTGTTTCAAGTTGAGTGAATGGTATTTACAGATTTGGAATATCTGAAAATGCTAATGAAATATTTATATATCTATATGAATGAGGTGAACATTTTAAGAGAGCTACGAAATGTAGGGATTGATTTCATTGACATACAGCAAAAAGGCACTATAGGCATTTAGATATTAACATATATAATTATTTGTTTTTTTCATAATGTAGTAGTTGAGTTTCACATTTTTTATGTTTATTCATTAGATGAATAATAATCAGCGATAAAGTAGTAATTCAATTACCGAGTCACTTCTTGCTGATATCTTGTTATTCAACATTATTGATAGTCTTGTTGAACAAAGATAACACGAACAGTTTCAGTCTTTCCAAAAGGTATAGTAGAGAAAATGTTTAAGTAGTTTCAAGATTTACTTTTTTTATTTTTTGTCTCACATTAGGTGAGAAGGCATATTATTGAAGACATAAATGTCGGAAATAGAAAACTTCTTCTGAAATTTTCAACTGGATTATACCACCTTACTTCACAGTGTATTAGATAGATAATTTATTGGTGTTTTTATACAATCATCAGTATTTACACAATACATACATATTGATAAAATTAGCATATGTCATTCTATTAATATTTACATAAACAATAGATGCTTAAAATTCATAGAACAAGTTAAAAAAAAATTATCTTATAAGTACATCCGAGTTATTTCGACGAACAAAGCAGTCAAATTTAAAATTGGGTATTATAAAACAACGACAAATGCCTATATGGTTAAGGAACTTATATCACAGTGCAGGAATTCTTCGGTGCTGAAGAAGGCATTTTTCATTGAAAAATATTTTATCCTTATTTTGAATATGGTAATAGAGATCTTATTTTTTGTGGTAATTTATTGTTATATTTCACAGCCCGAAAATTTGGTCCATTTTGACATCTTTTAAAGCGGCAGTAGTTTGTACTCAAATCATTTTTATGCCTAGTGTTGTGGTCGTGCACATTTTCAAAACTTCATATTGAGATAGATTATTTTTTAAGTAGGGAAGAGTGTTGTACCTTTGGGCAAATTTCATGTCGATTGACTCAAAATGTTTAAGAGATGCTTTATAGAGACCATTGAAGCACACAGAAATAGATACAACCTTCATCTATAAATCACAAAATATTCGTCTATGGATTCGTTTCAGTAACCTTTTGAAAAAAAAATTGTTTTTTTTTGACAGGGCGTCCAAAGGTACAGCACTGTTTTGTACCTTTGTCCATATTATGTTGTACCTGTGGACAGATGACAAATTGCCTTCAATTAAGAATAAACAACACAAACTGACGGAATCTTCTTTATTACATTAATTATAGGATGACAAACATGATTACTATACATTGTATGTATCAAAGTTAACATTAAAGGACATCATATTTTGCTGGCGTTGTGATGTTCCAACCAAATCTGGTGAAGGCATTTATTTTATTACGTCTCGTTCGGAGACACAAGAGATCTCCTCATCTGAATACACAAATTTATTATTTCGAATAACTGTTTTTAAATATTTGACTAAGTATTCGTCATCTAAAACCTCAACTATCTTGGCAACGTAATGTACAATATTCTTTTTACTGTCCAATTTTACGTTTGACCATCCTGATGGATTTGTCCATCCAATTGAACCCGGTGGTGCACTATGTAACATGTGGTCGGCACATGGTTACCGATGGCATTAACCGCAGCAATCATAGTCACATTGATCCCACTTTTTCCGGATGTCATACTACCCAGTTGCTTACACTATTATCTTAGGTGGTGCATAGACTGAAGATTCCCGGTTTAATCTAAATTATAGATATTGGCAGAGAAAAACTTATAGCGTGACATTACGGTTTCAAAATTGTTGAAGAAAGCTTGAATATTTTCTTTGTTCAACTTGCCAGGCTTGTAGCCTCGAGTTTCCCTAATGACAATGAAATGTCTCAGCCATTCTTTGCCTGCAGTGGCATTTGTAGTCCAATTGTCAGGTGTTTTAATCTTGTTTTCACGTGCGTACTGAAATGCTAAAATACTTGCATCTTTTTTTGTGAGTCCATAATGAAGCGACGCTGCCTGTGTCAAGTACTGCTCCAACTGTAACTCTTGTTCAAGTGAAAACACTTTTTCAACTTTGTTGTTCGAGTTGAATTCGAATGTAAGATGTTTGGAGTTTACATGAATTCGAATATGATCAGATAAGGTTGATCGACAAATATATTTTTTGGCATCTTGTCGAACCGGAATCTTATTTTCGAGGATGTCTTCAACAACTTTCTGCAAAGCACCTATATCCACTGTGTCTCTTTTTATTCCACTTTTGCTTCGTGGATTTTTTTCTGTAAAGAAACTAGGTGTCACTTTACTTGTTATTTAAGTTAAAAAGCATTGAAGTTCAATTCTGTAGAGTTTGTTAGCCGAATGCAGTGAGGCTAATAAATCACACGAGTGATAAAAACTGCCTTACTTAATGCAGCGGTGCATATTAAAGCAAAGAGACCACTGAGCTTCCTCTGATTTGAGAATTATTTATTTCCTATGCAATGCCGATTTCGCCTTACTTCGATGTCTACTTCCAGTGGAATTCCAGATAAATTAGAAAAAAGTAAAATGTTTTGTCTAGTTGTTCCTTTGGCCAGGCCAAAGCTACAACAAACATAATGTCCCAAGGTACAACAATGTTTACTACTACAAAAATATTTTTGTTCTCAGATTATGTAATGAATGCATTTCGACATTCATTATTATTTATAACTCCCAAATCACAGCATTGCAATTCTGGAATGGATTTTAGGATAATTTAGATTGCGTAAAAGCATTCATACAATTACTCTATACCGAAATATATAAATAAGGATAACGGCTAGTAGGAATCAGTATCTGACAGTTACAGTTGGCAGCAAGTAGTGAATAGCAAAGGGATCAGTGTCGTTTCATGAATAATCAAATAGTGTGTGTGTATGAAATATTGTTTTGATTTTTTGAGCAGAGTGTCACTCATATACGAACACTTGAAAAACGATTACTTCATCTTTTGATAAGTATAACCAGTATTATCATTGACTCCTTTCTCAGATAGGTCAGATAGGTTACACAACACAACAAAAAAAATTTTTTGAACGTTTCCTACACTAAATTAGTCAATTTCTACTAATTTTGGGGTGATAAAAACGAAAATAACAATGAAAAATTTTTATTAGCTCTGGTTTTTGAGATACACAGTACTTAATCTTAAAGAGTAGTTATACTATACGTGAAAAGTGAAAGTACATAAAACAATATTGTTATGTTTCTTTTAGAATATTTTAAGTACAAAATTAATTTAAAAAAACATTATTCTTAGTGTTTTGACAAATAAAAGAAGTTTGTATCACCAAATTTCAATTAAGTCCATCCGATTCATTGTAAGATCGCTGTCGTTTAGCTTGTCTTTTATAAAACACTTCTGGAGCATCCCTACACACAGACCAGCAGTAGTCTGCAAGCATTGCTTCATTCCAACGGCCCTGATATCTCTGTTCCATTAAGGCAATGTCTTGATGGAATCTTTCTCCATGTTCGTCACTCACAGCTCCACAGTTTTGTGGGAAGAAATTAAGATGCTTTTGTTACCTAAAAACCCATGTACAACCCCCTTAAAGGTTTCCCAGGCTCTTTTTTCATTTCCTGTTAAAATCATGTCAAAAGCAGGATCATTTACGATTTCACGGATTTGAGGCCCAATAATGCCTTCCTTGACTTTAGCATCACTCAACCTGGGAAACTTTGCTCTCAAGTACTTAAAAGCTTGTCCTTCCTGGTCCATGGCCTTCACAAAGTTTTTCATTAGTCCCAACTTAATATGTAATGGGGGAAGGAGAACATCCTTAGGATCTACAAGAGGCTCGTAAACTACATTTTTCTCATTAGGGTTTAGGTCTCGTGTAGGCCAGTTCATTTTTTTATAGTGAGATTTTCTATCCCGACTGTCCCACAGACACAAAAAACAACAGTACTTGGTGAACCCTAATTGCATTCCTAGGAGTACAGCAATGACTTTCAGATCACCACAGATGTGCCACTTGTGTTGTTCATATTTGATTGATTGGAGAAGTGTTTTCATATTTATATACGTTATACGTGAACTGCATGACCTATAGGAATAGAGGGTAGCTGATTTCCATTATGCAGAAGTACAGCTTTTAAGCTTAGTTTTGAAAGTTCTATAAACAGTCTCCATTCAGATGGAGTGTGATCCAAATTCAAGCAGTCCATCAAACCATTAACATCAGAACAAACTACGAGGTTTTCTTTTTTCTCAAAAAAAGGAAGCAAATCTTTTTGACGCTGTCTGTACTGAGATATTTTCACATCATGTTTTAGAAGATTCCACTGTTATAGTCTTGACCCTAACAGCTCAGCCTTTTCCTTAGACAAGCGAAGATCTCTTATAAGGTCACTCAACTCTGCTTGACTAATTCTGTGCGGATCACTAGACCTATCGCTTACCTCAAAATCAGGGTCATAGGATGTAGAAGGATGGGTTGCTCCTTCTAAACAGTCTTCATCACCTTCCTCTAAAATTTCATAGTTTTGGGGTGGAGAAGGGACTGGCAAATTGTCTGAGTGTGGTACAGGCCGAAGAGCAGATGGGAGATTAGGGTATTTAACCGTTCCTCTTTTCTTCATAGATGAACCTTGCTTAATGGGAAGAGTTAAGCAGAAATAACAGTCGTCTGTATGATTGGTAGGCTCACGCCAAACCATAGGTACTGCAAAATAGCAACCACGTGCGTACAATTGACAAACTCACATAAGTTATGTTTACTACTTAAGAACAGCTGATGAGAGGGGTGTTATGTAAACAAACATGTGTACCAACTGTTGGTGATGAAATATTTCATTTGTTGAAAACTCAATATACATATA